TGAATTAGACCTGAAACATCCACGGAAAAACAATAGCATGAATTAGATCATCACAAGACCCTGTGATGATCCGGTTTGAAATAAGGCTTCGATTTGTAGGATCTTTGAGTCGAGGATTCGGCCTTCCTGTTGGGGTTCTCATACTGATCCGAAGGGTTTCTTCTCTTCTGTATCTCTCTATCCTCTTCGAGCCTTATGAAACTCAATGCCCAACACCTGACTTCATCCAATCTTTTGCACAGGGTCATCACAAGGTCTTCGTAGAAGGGTGAATCCTTTCTTAATCCCATTTTAAAAGCTTCCACAGCGGTGGCCATGTCAATGTTGGGGATGCTCAGAGCTTCCCTGCCAAACCTTTTAACAAAGTCCCTAAGTTTTTCTTTAGGATCCTGAACCATCCGGTAGAGATTACTAGTGATCTTCTCGAAGGTTCCGCTGCAAGAAAATTGGTTATTAAAGATATTGACTAAGTGTGCAAATGAAATAATAGAGTATGGGGGAATGTTTAGTAGCCATTTGAGGGTTGATCCTGTAAGAGTCGAACCAAAGCCTTTGCATAGGCAAGCTTCCTTCAAGTGCCCTGGGATGGGAATGATCTCCATCATTTCTCTGTATTGGGCTATATGCTCTTTGGGATCTGTAGTCCTATCGTATAGCTTCATGTTGGGCGTTTGGAAGCGCTTAGGAACTTCGGTATTAGCTATCGCAGGAGAAAATCTCGAGATCCTGTGGCTTGTACGGGATGCTGCTGGTATTGGTTGGACCACTCCGGGTATATTGGAGATCATTTGTCTTAATTGTTGAAGTTCCCTAGCCATGTTCGGGTTTATTCCTACATCAACATTAGTGTAGTTAGTATTAATAGTATTGTTGTTTAAGAAGTTACTAGAGTCAAGGTTTCTAGGAGTGTTGAAAGGCTCATTGAGATCATTGATCATGGACGCTCGGTTGTCCATAGTTGCCCCCCAGGGTGACGCCACAGTGGTAATTGTGTCCTTCTGGCGATTTTCTGAGGATCCTGCATTATTGAAGTCCAGGATCCTTAGTTGTACGACTGTGGGCGTAGTTTCCTGGGATTTCTAAAATTATGCCTTCATCCTCTCCACTTCTTTGAGTAGTGCTCTATTCTCCTCCTGTTGTTGGATCACCTGTTGTGTCATTTTCCTCATCATAGCGAAAAGTTATGCAGTAGTGACTGAGGCAGTCGGATCCTAGAGCCCTGAGGATCCCAAACTTCATGGATTAGCGATTGTGGGGGTGCTTTTCTTGGAAGTGTCGGGGGTTTTCCTCTGAGTGGGGGGGTCCACTGGGAGGAGGTGGTAGGTTTTTGGTTGAAGTGGAAGGAGCAAAGGACGAAGAGAGGATCGGTTGTGTAGACATGATTTTTTCAAGGATTTTGAACACCACGGCCCCATGGTGGACGCCAAATTGTTTTGGTAAAAAATTACACAAGTACTAATCAACCAAATTGAATGAGAGGTTGTGATGTTCAGATTGTGTAAAAGCATGTGGTAAAAGAAAGTGACACAATGGTTTACTAGGAAAGCCCTTGATCCTTGCTAGGATCTCCGGCATAAAACCTTGGGAGGTGATAATGATCACCTGCCTTGATGATTTTATTGATATAAAAATGAAGATTACAGTGAGTTCTTGGTAAGAATAAGTAGAGAATTTCGTAGAGTAAGTTTAAGCTAAAGAACCGTGTGTTGTGTGCAGATTACAAGTGTCAATTTATAGTCTAATTTAGCCAACAAGATGGCCGATATTCCCGGGATCCTCTATGACCAGCTTCACGAACGTTATTTGACCAAGTATTCCGGGTCTTTAGCATAGTTGAGATGATTCTTCGTTGAGAATTGGTCTTCCCTTGACTACTTCTGCACACGTGTTGGTTATAGACATATTATGACCGTTATAAATATTGATAAAAAATAACGGTAATTAACCGGGATCCTGATATTGCTGAGGATCCTGGATATTTGAGGATCCTGGTCCCAACAGTGACACACTCAGAAAATGTCATAGCAGAAAAATCTACATCATTGAAGGAGGTTTTAACACCCCCCCCCCCCAAAGTAAGTTAAAGGATTACGAGTAAACACACCTTGGTAATTGAGTTCCACCATCGCAAACAGTCCATCACCAGGATTAGGTTGTGCCATTTCTGCTACTAGCTTTTTTCTTGAAGTCAATCGACAACACTGATACCTTGATCGTAAGCGACTAGGAAATCCCTAACTGTTGACGCGCCAGTTACTTTTTACACAATGAAATGAGGTCGAGGAAGAAGGAAACGGGTTAAATGAGAGTATGACTTAATATACATCATTAAAATGATGTGGACCAAATTTACACATCATTAAGACTTTCAACTTAAAAAAATGTGAGGTCGGATGTGCAACTATGAAATCTTTTAAAATCGATCACAATGGTGTAATTGACAACTACAATAACATTTAGTAGTCTATTGCGCTAAAAATTTCATAATTTGTCAAATTATACCATACACAAAATTTAATTGTGTTGCAGTGACATTTTCCCTAAAATATATATTAAACTTGTACACGTATTCAAAATTAATAATTTTGATTATTTTGCTTAATTCATGAGCTTTTTTATTGGAAAAATAAACTTGTCATTTTGTATACTAAACTTTTAAATATGGTTATTTTAGTGAATTGAAAGTAATAATAAAAAATATATATATATATATAACATGCCTTTCAATAAAATAAAAATATGATCGAAATGTCTCATCTCATGAAGCTGATATAATAACTTCTTTATGATTCTTTGGTACCTAAACTTTCCTTTTTCTTGATTTGTGGCCGTTCGGCCTGAAAATCTAGACTTTCTTTCAAGATATCTTGTTAGGTTAGGAATTAGGATAGAATCAAATCACAAAAAAATCAATTTCTGTGATCTTATGGCCATAATAATTTATCCAACATAAATAAACTCTATCATTTTATATTGGACATGTTTTATTGTCACTTTTTAAGTTTCCAACAAATACTTAATTAAATATTTACATCAAACGAATCCTATAGCATATGATATGTAATTACACATGTGGCAACATAAACATTAGATCCATAGCATCTAGCTTTGGAGTAAAAGAAACAAGGGCAATCGTGGGTGTTTTATTTATAATAGAAGTGATTAGGATTAGGATTAGGATTATGGTTAGGATTAATAATGAACTGTCACATACCAATGAATATTTATATCTTAAAGGGGACAAGCAAATCCATTTGGATGAAGTTTCATGAAGATATCGTCCATCTAAAGCCTAAAGGCCAGCCATACCACATGTGATGATGTGAACTTTGGGGCCAAATTTTTCTTCTTCAAATAAAGCATGCATGCCTACTAAATATGAAAATATTTACATCTCATGTGGAACTCATGGTTATTAAATGCCACCATTTATATCAAATCAGACTACATACATAATGAGAATCTTAATTTGGGTTTCCAACTTATCAGTATTTTGGAAGTTTTCCCAAGTGGCATTAGTATTTGGGGTGGTCCCTTTTCTTATTAATTGACATCTATGTATTATTCACTACACTAGTTGTGAGACTCGTATATTATACGGGTTGATTAAAAGATAATGTTAAATAGGAATGTTTAAATGAGAAGTTTACTTGATTTGAAATATGAAATAAGTGAAAATTATAAGAAAAAAAACATGCAAAAAAAAATTAATTAAAATTATGTGTTTAATTGTCAGACCCGTATACTAAATGAGTTATTATAACAAAATGTTAAATACAAAGGTTTAAAGTGTAAATTTATTTGAAATTGAAATTGAAATTGAAATTTCAAAATTTAAATTTTAAATTAATAGTCATTATGGTAGGTTTAATTTATGGAAACTAAATTAATGATATATTGAAAATGAATAATGAAATAAATGACAAGTGGAAAATAAATATATCTCAAAATTATGACAAAATAACATGTGGCCAATTGAATAAGAGAAAGACAAGTGGCAAAAACATTTTCATTTATTAGGATAGATTTTTACTAAACCAAGTGGATTGTGTGCTTATGCCTTATCTAATATCATAAGGATGATAACTAATTAAAAAGGGAAACTATAGAAAAAAAAACTGTATATTGAGGATTATATGGTTTAACCATAAATATTTTATTTTTTAATTAGATGATAAAAGATTTAAAAAAAAAATCGTTTCATCTATAATTATGTTATATCACGTTTCACCAATAATTTTTCAAAACAATCAACATAATTTGTTATATCAGGTTAAAAAGAAAAAATATCTAAAAAAAAGAAAACATTATCAAAAATATATAGTTTTTTTACTAACTAAAAATATCCAAATTGGAGCTAACATAACACCAAGTGCTTTTTTTTTTTTTTACATATTTATCATAAATAACAATTAACTTTCTAAAAACTGATTTTATGAAATTACTTTAATTTGTGAAATATTTTTCTTCAAACATCATTTCCCAAAACATGAATAATTTCATAATTTTTTTGCTAATTATATTCATATTACGAAAACCCCCATTTTTTACAAAGTAAGAGATAAATTTGTAGCGGGACCACCATTCATAAAATGATCTTGCAAAATAAAGTAACTTACGTACAAACTAATTTTTTAAATGTTATTTATTTCAACAAAGTTTATGAAGCTTTATCTAAATTATTTCAAATATGTCTTTTGTTAATTATTTATGTGGTTTTGTAACTTATTTGTTTATCAAAAGAAACATGCTAAAATAGTACACGATCATAAAAAGTGGTGACCTCACATTGGGTGGTGTAGCTACACTCCTAAACACAAATTAAAATATTAATAGTTCTTCTAGAGAGATCGAAATACATACGATCGAAAGTTTAAGAAAAATTATAATTTTTTTTAAACAAAACACCTATCACTTAACTCATTGTTTAGTTTGTATGTAACTAATACACATGGAAAAAACATTAAAATTTATTTCTTTCCAACTACTTATTGTACTTTGTGAATACAAAAAAACAAAACAAAAATTTCACGTACAGATTACACAGAATGATGTGAAAGAACAATATTGATGCATAGACAACAGAGCAACTGCATAAGAGGTAGTACTAAACGCTTTACGAGTTGTACCTATGATTTCAAAGAAACTTACACAACGAGTAGCCACTATCCACCCCCACAATTTCTGAACCGGAGATCAATGGCACTGTTACCGGACCTTTTCTCATCTTATAATCTTTCGAAAACTGGTGAACGGTTTCTTGAATTCCGTCGAACGCCACCAGGAACTCCGCCGCATCACTCTGGCACAAAATCTTCTTCACCACCGTTTCCAATGCATTTGTCCTGTTCGAAATATGTTAAAAAAATTTGAAAAGTTTGAATGTTGGATTGATTAGTAATTTGCTTACCTGAAGTTTTGGGCCTTGACGATGAGACGATGGACTTTTTTGAGTTCAGAATTGACTTGATCTAAAGTAGATCCATTGGGCTTTTCGTTAGCGATTGCGAAAGGGATTCGGAGAATGCAATTGGCTTGAATCTCCATCATTTCTTCATCGATGACAGCTTCTTCGATCCGCAAGTCATGGATCAATTGAGAAATGGCCTTTTGTGTGGCACCTGCGTGAGATAAAGATGAGGCGAGGGTTGGTGAAGATCGGATGAGGGAGCTAAAGAGGCCCAAAATGGAAGATGGGCGCCAGTCACCTAGCCATGAGAGAGTGGCGAGTTCCAGAGGTGGGCTGGATTTACGCATGAGAAGTTCGGCGACATCTTTTGGTCGTGTTGGGTTCTTGGCGCGAGAGTATTGGGCTTGGAATCGTTTCAGTTGTTTATCGATTCGATCTTCCAGAGATTTGAGTTGCCTTTCGAGTCGTGCTGATCTGTGATACCTGTCTTGCTTCCATAGTCTGTACCTTTTCCAACTGAACGATTCACCTAATCAAAATCACAAACAAATTGATTATCTCATGAATACACGATGTTCTTCGTCTCAGATCCGTAAATCGATGTGGATTAGACCTAATTTCTGTACAACATGCTGCGATCATAACTCGAAGTGAGATTAATTATCTGATAAAACGCAAGGAAGTTTCATAAGATTACCAGTTTCTGGAATCTACTACCATAATTCGTACTAGAAGAGAGATTAACTCTCCAAGAAGATGCAAGAATGTTTCGTAGAATCAGTTCAACAATTTGAATCAGTGTAGAACTAAAATCAATACAGATGAGGGTTAACTCTGTAGAACATGCAGTGAGGAATTCTCCTACCACAGTTCGTGCTAGAAACGAGAATAATTCTCTTAGAAATAGCCAAAATAGTTCTTATCCTTATAAGTTCAACGTGAATCTGTAGATTGAAATTGCAAGTTGATCACAATATCTTAATTTCAACACGAGCAAGTGTTTCAGATGTAAATAGCAAACAGAAAATGCTCATAATTAATGATTGAATTAATCTGTATACCTAATTTAGGCGAGTTTTGTGAGTGGAGTGTGAGGCATCGGATTTGCTCCGTTGGAGGATCTTCAGATTCCTCTTCATCATCTAATACCGCTTTTCCGCGATCTTGGTTCGACATGCATGGTTTCCTGAGAATTTGAAGATCAGAATATCATTAAATTGAGCCCTAATCACACGCTGATTGTTATGTGATTGAAGTAATCAAATCAAAGATAGATAAAGATCAAAAGAGGATTGGAGTTACGATTGAGATGAAGCCTTCTTCGTGTCTTTCTGTTTCTTCTCCGTCATTGTGATTGTGTAATTGCGCGCCAAATTTTGTTTCAACTTTCTAGCTCTGTTTCTGTATATATATACACACACATGACACATTCGGGCTCCAAACAAACCCCTTCTCCCCATATATACACACATGCTATGAATTGCATTTTCACAGTTCTTGAAAGTACATTGCCCTTCTATGAAGAATGTGGTATTTTTCAAAAAGAATTAGAACAAATAAAGAAATGGATGATAATTAGAATTCAGAAGCGCTGGAGTGGCATGGATGTAAATTAGTTAAAGAAGAAGGGTTATGTTGGATGATGTAGAAAATAACCATTCAAATGAATAATGCTTTCATGATGCCTTTTGAGTTGGAATTTACCTCAAATGAGTATAGAATCATCGAATTTAGTGGAAATTGATGGTAAAATTGATCATACATGTAATTTGAAGAGTTATAAAAGTTTGTAACATTAGACCCGAGGGTGTAGGTGGGAAACTCCCCTCACTTTTTGTGGGCCATAAGACCATTCCCCTCATTTTCCTTTTCTTCACCTAAACCCAATGAATGGATTGAAAACTTCTCTCACTATTTTTTTTATTTTTTTAAAAAAATATATATTTCCTATAAATAATATACTCATTTTGTAGGGAATTAAAAATCATGAATTTGATATATTTTTTTATAATTTTTAGTAGGTATATATAATTTAATAAGTATTAAAAAGATTTAAAAAAAAATTGGCCAATAGGAATAGGAGAGAGAGTGAGGGAATGGGCTCCCTCACCTCTTTCCCTCACCACCTTTCCCTCACTCAAGGGATGGTGTTCAGCTGAGAGGGAAAATTTTCCTCACTCTTTCTCTCACACATACCGTCCAGCCTTAGATGAGCATATTGCATGTGGCATGACTATGTGCGATGCCTTGATATAGTGAGGCTAGAAACATGACTATGTGAAGATGAATGACATAAAGGTGGCCCCATGAGATGATTTTGTAACATCATGAACCTATCTTATCTAATTTAAGGTGGTGTTTGGGATTATTTTTTGAACTTCAAAGGTGTTTTTTGAAAAAAAAAAAAAAAAAAAGAAAGTGTTCATTGACTTATGATGGTAATTAAAAAAGTTTTTAAAAAATGTTTGGATTAATTTTTGTGGTGGAAAAAAAACTATAAATGTAAAATGAATAAAAAGGGAATGGAAAGAGAAAAGAAGAAAATGAGAGTGTAAGAGTTCATTTTTTTTTTTTTGACTTTTTGAAAAGACAATAAGTCAATAAGCTATTTTGAAAAACAATCTCAAACAACCTCTAAATATTTTTAATATATTTAAATGATTGAATTACTATAATAAACATTCGTGTTTCATGTTTATAAGAAGAAATTAAATAAAAATTCTTGAACGTAAAATTTCAAAATACTTAATAGTAGTAAATTATTATTTTTGAACGGTTTAAATTGAAAATACTAAAAGTTTGAGGAGTCAAGAGTGATGATGAATTAGCTTTTATCATTACTCTCCTGAACTCTTATAACCTCTCTTGTACACAATATGTTGGAAAAACATGAACTTTCTTTAACTAAAAGATACGATTATTTTTTCGAATTTAGATATGAATAAATTTAGACGTTTTAATAATATTTAACAAGATTTTGTTCTCCTTGAAGAGAGCTTCAGAATGATATATTATACATCTAAATTGGAGTTGTGATAATGAGATGTCGTCTCAAAGTAAGATAATTGGAACGGAAAGATGGAATTTGGAAAGTGAAATAATGACGTCCTACATTTAGTGGGTATATATAGTAACTCACGCTTCACAGAAATGTAATAGCACACAATATATATCAAACTACTCTTTGATTAATTTGGAAATATAACTCAAAAACCAAATTAGTTTACAGTGTGTTTTTGTTTCTCTGTGTTGGTGTGTATTACCCTCTTGATAATGCATTGTATTTATAAGATGGACTAAATCATTTCCAATCCTATAATAATAAACATGAGACCCAACCAACTTGTTGGTGTCCCTTACTTTATTTGTGGGTGGAAGACATGAGTGGAGTGAAATGAGGAATTAGGATTCCAACAATCACCCCCGAATCTCTAAGTCCTTCTAGAGATGTCTTCAATCTCGATCAAGTCCCGCATTATCTTGAACTTGGTTCGAGCCAACGGTTTTGTGAGAATGTCTGCCTTTTGTTCTTCACCTGGAATGTACTCCACCTCCACTTGTTCCTTTTCAACGCAATTACGAATGAAGTGAAACCTAGTGTGAATGTGTTTACTTCTTCCGTGAAAAACGGGATTCTTTGTTAGTTCGATAGCCGACTTGTTATCAACTCTAAGAACCACCTTCTCTTGCGTTTTGTTCAAGATTTCTCCCAGCAAATCTTGAAGCCATATTGCTTGACATACAGCCGCAGTGGCTGCCATGAACTCTGCCTTGCAAGATGATAAAGCAACAGTATCTTGCTTTTGCGAACACCATGTTATTGGAGACAACCCATAGTAGAAAATATGACCAGTTGTGCTTCTTCCGTCATCTGGATCAACATTATGACTACTATCACTGTAACCAATTATTCAATTTTGTCCCATCCTCTCGTACTTGATTCCGTATCCCGTTGTTCCTCGTAAATACCTTAGGATGTGTTTGATTGCAACACCATGTGATTCTCTTGGATCTTGCATGTATCGACTAACAACTCCAACCGCATATGTCATATCGGGTCTTGTCTGCAAGAGATATCTAAGGCATCCTACCAACTTTTGGTATTGTGTCGGGTCGATTTCGGGTTCATCTTCGGCCTTCGACATTTTGGTTCCTGGATCCATGGGAATGTGGGTAGGATTGCAATCATGTAAACCGGCTTCCTTCAGAATGCGTTGTGCATACGCTTCTTGGTTTATTGTAATCCCCGATTCATCCTGTTTGACTTCAATGCCCGGGTAGTAAATTAATCTTCCAAGATCAGACATCTCGAAGTTCTTGGACATTTCAAATTTGAACCTTTTGCTCATGCTCAAATTTGTACCTGTGACAAACAAATCATCAACATAGATTGCTAAAATTAGCAAGTTGGATCCCTCGTTCTTCCGGTACACCGATGGTTCTTTCATGCACTTGTGAAATTTCATTCCTTTCAAAATCCCATCAAGTTTCGTATTCCATGCTCTCGGTGCTTGTCTAAGACCATATAGTGCTTTTGAAAGACGGTACACCTTGTGCTCGTCGCCTTTCCTTATGTAGCCTTCCGGTTGATACACATAGACGGTTTCTCTCAACTCTCCATGTAAGAAAGCCGTCTTGACATCCAAGTGGTGAAGCTCTCATCCATTGGTAGCGGCTAAGGCAATGAGAAACCGTATGGTTTCGATGCGGGCTACCGGAGCAAATACTTCTTGAAAGTCAATACCAGGTTGTTGTACGTACCCTTTAGCAACCAATCTTGCCTTGTGTTTGTTTATGGTGCCATCTGCATTTTTCTTCAGCTTGAACACCCATTTGAGTCCAATGGGCTTCACCCCCATAGGCTTGTTTACGAGAGACCAAGTATTGTTCTTGTTGATCGAATTGATCTCTGTATTCATGGCTTTGACCCATTGTGGTTCTTTCTTTGCCTCTTCAACCGATACCGGCTCGTCATTGGTTGCTAGGAGAAGTTCTTCAATCTCATCAACATAAAGTACATAATCTCGTAATCGAATTGGAAGCACCTTTGGTCTTGTGGGCCTTTGGTTTTGAACATTGTTTACGTTGTTGTTGACCGGACTTGGTTGCTCATTTTCTTGTACCTCCACTCCGTCTTCAATCTCGTGATCCGATTCGTTTGGTTCAATTGGTTCGTTGTTTACATCGTTTCCTTGGTTGTTGTTCGCCTTATCTTCCGGTAAATCCCATGGTACTATGAATGATCCTGGTTCTTCATTGTCGGGTGTAGCTTCGTTAACCCAATTCCACCCTTTGGTTTCATTAAAAATAACGTCTCGACTTACGATTATTTTTTGTGTAACCGGGTTAAAAAGACAATAAGCTTTCGTACCCGGTTCGGAACCAAGATGCACCAGTGGTCTTGATCTATCATCCAACTTCTTCACGTTTACCGGTTCAACTTTTGCATACGCTAGACACCCAAAGATGCGTACGTTCTCCAAATTAGATTTTCTTTTATACAACTTCTCGTACGGAGTTGTATTACCAAGTACTCTTGTGTAAACACGGTTGATCAGGTTTGTGGAGTGTTTTACCGCTTCTCCCCATAGATAGTTTGGAACATGCATCGCCTTCATGATACTTCGTGTCATGTCCATAAGTGTTATGTTTCTTCGTTCCACAATACCGTTTTGTTGTGGTGAATATGGGGCGGTAAGATGACGTTTGATTCCATTTAGATCACAAAATGAATTAAACTGGAGTGAGGTAAACTCACCCCCTCGATCACTTCGAAACACCTTCAAAGACTTTCCAAACTCATTCTCCGCCAAAGCTTTGAACTTTTTGAAGTGTGAAAACGCCTCACTTTTCTCTTTTAAGAGAAAAATCCACATATACCGTGAAAAATCGTCAATTAGTGTGAAAATGTACCGATTTTGACCCTTCGCTGACGGTGTTATCGGACCGCATAAATCACCGTGAACTAGCTCCAATGGCCGTGTTGCTTTGTACGTCGTCATTAATGGAAATGACTTTCTTGTTTGCTTGCCCACCAAACAAGACTCACATAATTGATTTTCATTGTCAAAATGTGGTAACCCTTTAACTAGACCATTCTTGGACATCTTCATAGACTCGAAATTGATGTGCCCAAGTCTTGCATGCCAGCGCCACGTGTCTTCACTTAGTCTTGAATGAAGGCAAATAGGTACTCCAATGGGCAACTATATTTTATAAAGGCGGTTTGGAGTTCTTTGTACCTTCATTAATAAGCAGTTGTCGGCATCATGCATTGTCAAATAGTTGTCTTTCATCCGAATATCGCACCCGGCTTCGGTTGCTTGTCCGAGACTGAAAATATTATTTTTCAAATCCGGAATAAAATAAATCTCCGTTATCAATCGTTGTTGCCCCGATTTTCCTTGGAAAACAATTGAGCCTTTCCCTTTTATTTCGACACACGAATTATCACCGAATTTGACCTTTCTGGTTATTCCTTCGTCGAGTTCGGAGAAAAATGAACGATTTCCCGTCATGTGATTACTCGCCCTGTTGTCCAAATACCACACATTGTTGTCTTGTGAGTTGTATTTGGATGGCATCACCTTTTCTTCATTTAGAAACACTTTTTCATGAAAAAATACAATTTCATCAGCGTCGTCTTGCTCGGTGAAATTGCTTTCTTGGAATTTTTGAATTCGTTCCGGACATTTGGATGCGTAATGGACCGACTTATCACATCTGTAGCATATAATCTTCGACAGATCTTTTTTCGGGTTTCGGTTTGAGTCCGAATTGGAATTGGGCCGGTTATTGGGCTGTTTGGGCTTATTATTGGGTTGGGTCGATTTTGACCCGGATCCAACGGTTGACCCGGATCCGCTACCCGACCCGCTTGAGCCGTTTCGATTAAAGCTTCCCGACTCGGTGCCATTAGAACCCTTCCCCCGTTTTCCCCAATTCGTCTTCCCCGACGATCCAGAACCTCCTCCGCCATCGTTTCTCCATCCGCCACCACCACTCGTTCTAGCCATCAACACCTTTTGTTGCCCGTCTCCGTCCTCATCTGCTTTGATTCTTTCTTCATATGCTTTCAGACGTCCTACGACGTCGTCGAAGGATACCGTCTTCAAATCGAGCACTTGCTCGAGGGAGGCGACGATCTGAATGAACCGGTGAGGTACCACCGTCAAGAGTTTCTTCACGAGTTTCGTTTCTCCGATGGGTTCTCCCAGTGACGCTGACTTCGAGGCGATTCCAGCGAGTTTTCCGGCGAAAGCGTCTATCGTCTCTGTCTCCTGCATCTTCAGTCGGTCTAGATCGGCGGTGAGTGTTTGAAGTCGGGCCTCTTTTACTCTGTCGGCTCCAACATGTCGAGCCCTAATCGACTCCCAGAGGACCATCGCTTTATCGACGTCCCCTATCTGCATTATCAAGCTCTCAGGGATTGCTTGATACAACAATCCCATGGCAAGGTAATTCTTTTCTTCATTTTCTTCTCCTGGATCAATTACTGACCAGCTTTTATGAATTCGTAGGACAACTTTCATACGGAGGGACCAAACCATGTAATTGGTCTGGTTTAGCATTGGGCAAGCCACTGATGTGGTTCCAATTTCTTTGATTCTGACCGGAGGTGTAGCAGCACCGGTACCTCCAGCATCTTCAACGTCTGACATCTTCTTTTACTGGTGTCCTTCTTGATCACCATGTATTGAATTCAAGGCCCCTGTTCTTGAGCTCTGATACCAATTCACGCTTCACAGAAATGTAATAGCACACAATATATATCAAACTACTCTTTGATTAATTTGGAAATATAACTCAAAAACCAAATTAGTTTACAGTGTGTTTTTGTTTCTCTGTGTTGGTGTGTATTACCCTCTTGATAATGCACTGTATTTATAAGATGGACTAAATCATTTCCAATCCTATAATAATAAACATGAGACCCAACCAACTTGTTGGTGTCCCCTACTTTATTTGTGGGTGGAAGACATGAGTGGAGTGAAATGAGGAATTAGGATTCCAACAGTAACGAGTTCCTAACCAGCTGATTGAATGGTGGGAGTCCTAGTACGAGGCTCATACATGCACGCATACACATGGACATGATCGTAGACATGGTTCACATGTTTTCCTGAGTGGTACGTATGAATGTACTTTGCACTTTGTATGTATGCAACGAAGCATAAGTATCCTTTTGTTTTTTAAGAATGATATAGGGGTTGAAACTACCCATTGAGCAATCAAACAATTTGAGTTATCGTGTAACACGCAGGTTTTTAAAACGCTTATAGTCTTAACTTGAGATTGTTAAAAATGGAATATATATATATATATATATATATATATATATATATATATATATATGGAAAAGTTCAATAGAGAACCATAATTATTAGTTCTTCAAGGAACCAAATCTTTTTTTCAATTTCTAGAGCTTATTCTTTATCGAAAAAAAAATTCTAAAAATATCTAAATTCATATATTAACATTGTGAATGTGAAAAATATTTTTCGGATTCACCGTGTGAATCCGGATTCACGTTGTGAATTTTCAAAGATTCACATTGTGAATTTGACGTAAAAAAATCGAATTTGATATCATTGGAAAAAGGATAAAAAGTTATGAATTTCTGTATTTTTAGTTTTTTTTTGATAAAAAATAAATTGTAAAAGTTGAAAAAAAGATTGGTTCCTTGGTTAATTATGGTTCTCCTAATTCGAAAATTATGACGGAATATTTTTGTCAATATATTGAAAAATAACAAATATGATTAAACCATACAATAATACACATTCTGACATAATATATATTTTGATTTAATGAACTTCTTGAAGAATAACAAAATTTTGGATACAAGTTAAAAAAATTTCATTACATTCTTAGAAAACAAAAAAATATATATATACTATTCTATGAGAATGTTACACTTATTAATAACAAAAAAACACAACATATAAATCATTCTACCAGAATAGACTATTACATTTATTTTTTTTCATTATATTGTATATTATTCTGGTAGAATAATTCATTCTTTTTGGAAGATCGATGGTCATTGTTCATCTTCATTCCATACAATGTTCATCTTCAAGATTCTATTCTGACAGAATCAGAATTCCGCTGTTCAACCAAACACCTTGAAGCTTCAAAATTCCCCTGTTCAGATGACAGGGATCTTGATAATTCCACATCTCTTGAGTTGGGAAGCAGAGCCCTTAAGCTGTAAAAGGTTCCATATAAACGAGTATTATGTTACTAATTTACTAGTCATTTTGAGGATCTTTTGTTATTGTGATTTGGTTATCCAGAAATATCAGTTTATAATCTTGGAATTTATTAATTCCATACCTGTTAATGTTAAGGGAATTAGCTCCACCTTCTGGTTGATCATCAATCGATATATACTCATCTTCTGATGGAAGTGGCTGGAAGTTTGATTCTGAGTCCAAAATGGATGGAGGAACCAACCAAGTGTTCGCCCGAAAACCATATGGAAGATTATCAAACTGAAAAAAAAACATAGTGTCAGTTTCCAATTACACTATTATAGCATCAATGTAGAAGTATTTCGGATAAGCAAACAAATATATAGTGGCGCCACCGTGGGATTTGTTTCCTTTGCGGCGGCTGGTTTCTTCTCCTCCACCGGACCAACACTCAGTAGCTCTGTGTATCCGACACGTTTCCTTAGCAAGGTCGCCAGTTCAACTGAGTCGACATGTTCCCCAATCACAGCGATTTGGGTTTTATCTGATCCAATGAAAGATGCTGATTCAACACCTGTTCATCAATTGTCAGATCGTGATTTAGTCAAGTAATTCAATCAATTCCAATTGAGGTTAACAATAATCAGGTATAAAACCCACAATTCAAATTGAGGTTATGAAATTGAAATTAAGCCATTTTTCTGGAAAACGAGAATTGAGTGAAAATTGGGAAGAGGAAAATCAGAAAACATGATCTTACCAGAGAGACTAACGACGATTTTCAGAGCCTTACGAATTTTCTTTTCGTTGTTCATTGTGACCGTCACCACAATCTTTTGCTGCAAAACCAATCAATTACACAAATTGAGATTAACTTATTCGAAAAAACAGAACAGAATTGAACTGAATTAGATGCTGATTTGATTGTGCCGAGTGTATCTCTTTTGAATCTAAGAAATTGGAAAATAAGAGGATTTAAAGAAGACGTGTGAAGATTCAAAGCACTCAGAGGGGATAAATTAGGTTAAAATCAACTAGCATAATTATAGGAAAGTATTTGGGGAAGTTGTTTATAAAATTACCTAATTACCCTTATTTATTTATTTAATTATTTATTTATATTTTAAATTTTGATTAGCCCACATTTATGCATACAATAACACAATAAATACTTTAAACAATTGAACCTAGCTCTATATATATATATATATATATATATATATATATATATATATATATATATATATATATATATATATATATATATATATATACACGAGAGAGAGAATTTGGAGACGGTGAGTATATGTTGTGGGATGAAAGTATATTGTCCTAATGACATTTATATGTTTGTCATCCTTATATAAAGCGGGGTCCATGTTCGTTTGATGATCGAATGTAGCATAAATACTACACATCATCACTTGATTATTTCTCATTACCAATTGTTAAACAAAAGTAGTCTAATGCAAGATTTTTCTTGATATTAGATGTGATTACCTCATTGACACAAGGTTGGAGTCCTTTATGCATGTCTTGTCGGTTCCTAAAATGTTGAGAATTTAAAGCTATTTAGAGCCATGGTTTTAATGAGCTCCTACTTTTCTTGTGGTGTTTTGCTAAAGGTATCACGACCACTAGATGTGTCAATCAATATCATTTCTAATGGAAGGAAGAATTCATAGAATTATTAGATAAGGAGTTGTTCGGGAGTTTGATGTTGTGAACAACTAGCACAAAGACTATCGAATCGTTCCCAATAGTCATGAAGAGTTTTCATTATCCTTGATGAATACCGTAAATGTCATTGGATGCTTGTGTTATGGGATAAAACTTATCTATAAACACCCTCGCCATATTTACCAACCCTAATGGTAGGTAAAATAGTCAAATCCTTTGTTCGATTGGGCATGGTTATTGGGAATGTCATTAACTTGATTTGGTATTATGTGACCCCGTATGACTTAATTCTTGAGCAAATGATATGAAACATCTTCAAATGCTTATGAAAATATTCGTTTCCCAACCATGATAGGTGGGAAGTTGATGGATCAACTCGGATTTTAAATTCAATCTCCCTTCAAAAGAGGGATAGTGGATGCATATAGGTTGTTGTGTGAAATTGGTCTCCGTAAGTAATGAAAATATCACTAAATTGTATATATCCTCAATGTGGTGCAAATTATATTCACTCAGAGGATTGAGGTTAGAAGATAATCTTGATAATCAAATTATTGGGCATCAAGGCTTGGTTACTATTTTAAATCATAATTATTTAGGTTTCCAAAATAAAAAAGGATAGTTGTCTTTGTCCCTAACATACATGTGAATTAACCAAAACATCAAGCATCTCCGTTTTTGTATGTTTTGGCAACAAGTGTTTGGAGTTTTAGCTTTTGAAATCAATCTCGAAAACAAAAAGTTTCATTTGGAAGTACGAGTTGAAAACGTTTATTTCAAAACAAAAAATTTATAATCCAAAAACCAATTCAAATAGCTTTAGAAAGATTTTAACTTTAAACTTTTATATTTTATATAATTTTTGCATATTTCAAAAGATTACAACTACTTTTCGCAAAACACTTTCTTACAAATAAATATTACACCTTCTTGCTAACAATTATTTCTCCCAAACATGCCCTTAGCATATACAAAATTAAATATGTTTCTTAAACATGCCTTGTTTGCCTGTACACCAATCGTTTTGTTTGCATATTTTTTTAGTAATCATCATCCTAGTTTCTTATTAACATTGTTGTTACTTGGTTGCTTCATGTTTACTTGGATATTCGATACCTTTTTGTGTTTAATGTTAAAAGCTTTTACTCCTATTGCGCTTATAGCTCCACTTGAACGGAATAGACGTGAAAAAATACAAGCTATTTAAATGATAATAATCTTCTTTACAACTGATGATGACAAATTTAGATTGGTGCTCGACAATGTCGTTTGATGTTATATAGGTGTAATTTTTTTGATTTTGCATTTTTTAAGTTGTGAACATTATGATATGAACAATTATGATATGAACAACTTTTCTTTTTTTGATAGACATTCATATATTTTTCTGAGATGAACTTTTAAAGTGTTTTATTACAACACCATATTTATACGACTTATTTAGTGTACTAGTTGTAATTCAATTTATTGAATATCCATTTATTACACTAGAAAATATATATATATATATATATATATATATATATATATATATATATATATATATATATATATATATATATATATATATATATTTGTCTAGATGATGTAATAAATATTGTAGCTTATATACATTATGTGTTACAAGTGTATTTTTATTATTGGTGATTAATTTCTTTTCATTCATTCATGTTTTCATACCAATTCATTCATGTTTTCATACCAATTATCAAAAGGTTTCTAGCCCAACAGATTGTGATATTAGATGTTGCCCTCCCTCTTTACATCGTTTGAGACAAATGTGAAATTACGAGTTGACTAGGTTTGTTGTTTCAAAAAAAATTAAAAATAAAAATAAAACTAGGTTATTATTCATTTCATTCAATGAAAGTAACAGTAACCTAAGGTTACAAATGAATGTTATTTACCTCGTCCATTTCATTGCTCTATCAACTCTATTCCCTTGTTATTTACATTCCATTCCATCCAACCAAAGTCCATTCCATTACATTGTAATTCCATTCCATCCAAATTCCAATTAAACCAATGAGATTCGCTAATGTCCAATGATGTTACAATGCAAGAGAGATTACAAGTATTCACGTAGAGAAAGTATAACATTAGATGACAGAATACGAATTATATACATTTAAGAATTTGTTTAAACAAATTAATGACATTTAAAACTTTTTAGTTAAAACTTATTTTTATAAACATGTAAAAACAAAAATCTCCCAAGTTAAATTGATGGATTTAACTTTTAAAAACTAGTCATAAAATTCGTCTCTCGTGTTAAACTTATTAATAAAAAGTGTTTTTTTTTTTTGCCAAAGTTGACTCAAAGAGAAAAAGATGAAATTGTGCATAAACGATAAAAAAAATGTTTCTATTTCGAACAACACGTTTCCAAAATCAATTTATATATTAGGTAATCAAATCTTTATTTGGTTATAAACTCGCAACACTAACTCTTAAATCGTTGATTTTAAAAGTATATTCCAAAAAAAAAATGCTGATCCACCATCTTAATTCCTAAATTTACAACATTCTAAAAAAATTCACCTACCTTTTTGGATCATCATCATACAATACTATTACGAAATTTCCTGTATGAAAACCAACCTTTCAAGAAGTTTGCCACTCTAGAGCCATGAATGAACACCGACTCCCCTTCTTCATCTTCTTCAATAGAATCACAGTTTCTGGCATCATCACTTGACCTGAAAATTAAAAAAACAACATTTTAGTTGCAAAATAGGCAACAAATATTTGAAAAATATAATGGGAATGAAGTGATTGATTCATACATTGAAGGTTGTTTCAACTCATCACTTTGGTTCTTGATCATTTGTTGTCTTGTTGGTCGATAGTTGATTGTAACATGTCGTACAAATTTAATCTGAATGTATTAATGACAAAAAAATTTAGAGCACATTTATTTATAAGAACATGGGTATATTAAATTGAAGGATATGATATGAGATAATAGATAACCTGATCACCATCTTTGATTCCAAGTCTTCTTATATAAGCTTTATCATTCAACAGCTTTTGGCCTTTATAGCACAGACAAAAATGCCCCCATACATGTGACCTGATATCATTGAAGTTTCTTGAGATGTTAATAAATAGTTAACTTTTCAGATAAACCAAAAGGAACAGTCTGGTGCTATTTAAGAATTGTAGAATTCAACAAATAATTGAAGTCCAAATCAGTCTTCACATGTGTTGATCCTGCCATTTTCAAGTCTAACTGTTTCCTTTGCTATCTCATTCAAGAAATCAGTTTACTTTGATGTATCACTTTTACAAATGATCTTTATAGTTGAAAAAAAAAGTTACAGTTTGACCTAGATTCGTGGTCAAGGGAACGAAATTCAACGTAAAAGCTATACGAGTTCATTGCAATCAAGGAAAAAACTGTTTTATCAGTTAAAAGTTACAGCGTGTTAATGCCAATTGCACCAAAATATGAATCTGTAACAAGTAACAACATCGATTGATCCTCAGTACGAAATTATACGCATCTTACCAGGAAACAATGCATCTCTTCTCCTTAGGCAAGAAGCGAAAAAACTCCTCTAATACGAGTTTAAGATCTGCTACGGTAGCATTCATAGAAACCTCGACGCCTAAATAGTCAAAGAAAAAGAAATCGGAACTTAAACAACTGAAATTGAGCGTGAAGACAGATAATATTACGAAATAACAGAAGAATCGAAAGTTTACCAAAGGAAGAACCATCTAATTTCAGAACAGATAACTTGAGAAGCTGTTTAGGAAGCTTGTGATATGAAAACGATAAGCGTCGAACAATGAGTGCGTTGTGCATCAAAACCCTTGGATTTCGATTATCGTGATCGAAGTTCGACATTATCTCCATCATATGTATGTCTGTGTGTGAGTTTTAATGATCTTGGCAATAAAGAAACCGTAGCTACTTTGGGGGTCAAACACAAGTGAGTGAAGAAAAATGGCAGAATAACGAGAGAGAATCGGAGATGGAGATGGAGGTTTTTTGGGAGGGGGAACGAATTGGCGACCGTTGTAATGAGAGGAGGTTGTTTGTTGGGAAGCAGAAAAGTTTATGTGCTTGCGGTTTCACTCGCCTCAATGGACGCGCGTGCGTCTGGAAGAGTTTACACTTAAGTTATACAAATGGTCCCTCAGTTTATAAAATGATACATATTGTTTTACTTTATTGCGTCGTTGGTCCTAAGTCTTTAACTTACATAAATAATTTTCTTTAGCATTTTTCTAATATTTTTTAGGGTTCTTTTTTCTACAAAACACCCTATATTTTGATTTTTTTTGTTTGCAAAAAAATATAAATTTACTTATTACTTGTTATTTCACTCTCAACAGATAAATTAAGGTTTTTTTTCCATAAAATACCTTTTATATATATATATATATATATATATATATATATCTATATATATATATATATATATATATATATATAAAGGGGTTCCCGGTATGGTACCTGCAACCCCTAACTTTTCTGATCGCAGTGGAAAATTTTTCGATATTTTTTTACCTATTTTTCATTTATCGGCAACACCTATTCATCCCGGCAACACGTACTATGTATTCTTGCGTCCGTCCCTATATATATATATATATATATATATATATATATATATATATATATTCCATTTTAGACCTATTTTTTTCATGATAAACCCAATTTTAATTTATTCATTGTTATTTCATTAATTGAGTTGGTTACTAATAAATACCCATATTCCTCTAACTCACATGCGACCTAAGCATGGATCACCTAAAAAAATAATTTATTATAAAGTTCTTCTTATACACCATATTGGTCCATTGAAATGGTTGTTTCTTGGATCTAAGAACATAAACCTAGCAATTAAATGGAATTAAGTTATTGGGGGATGAAGCCTGTCTATTTACTACATTTACTATATATATATATATATATATATATATATATATATATATATATATATATATATATATATATAGTTTCAGTTTTTTTTTAAATTAGTTTTTAAAACAAAAATGGTTTTGTCTAAACCAATTTTCTATTATAATAGGCTCTGTTTTTCAGATTTTTTTAAGTGAAGTTGCGTCAAAAAACCAGTTGTAATTTGTAAGGGTGATGAAGAGGATAAATATATAATTTTAGGCATGTTTAATGCTTGGATCAATTAGTGTTTTTTTTCTTCGTTTACATTAAGTATATCAATATTCAATTGCGTATCATCCCTAAGGACTTTAAAGATTGGGACCTTAACAATGCTCATACCTAGATTACTCAGTGAAATCTTTGCGATTTCTCAGTGAAATCTTTGCGATTTCTCATTGTTGATTTTATTGAATTCACAACTCCTTTCTCCAATATTTCGATTCAAAACATGTTGTTAACTGATCATATTGGAAGTCATTGGAATTTTTTCCTCTATATGCTTCAATTGCGGCAAAAAAAATTAGAAATTTTGGGGTTTTGTCCCCTATTTTTGCTAAAGGAAATGGTTGGTATTGCGACATGGCAATGGAGTTCTTCATTTCCTTAGTGTTTTCATCAACAAGTGTGGCAATGGAGTTCTTCATTTCCTTAGTGTTTACACCAATTTCATAATCTCTAGAATCGACTCCGATCTTAAGGAAGGGGTTTGAGTTTTTTTTACAACCAAACGATGATCGGAAAATGGGATGGGGTTGTGAGTTGGACGACGAGGAAACGCTGCAAGAGAAAGAGTATCAACATAAAGCTGGTGAGTTCATAAGCGATGTTTTGTAATAAAAACTTGTTGATGAATGTGTAAGAATGTTTATATGTTTCCAAGAAAATCCGATATTTTCTTTAGTGAGAATGTAGTGTTATCATTTCTGTGTAAAACCATGAGTGTTCGTTACTGAAAACTGTTGTGGTATGTGAAAATACTACTTCATGTGACTAGCTAATGCCAATCATGAAATGTAAGTATTTCGTATGAAAATCATTGTATAATCGGTTCTTTTTTAATACCCTGGCTATCACCAGTGTACGTAGTATGCTTTATTACTTAAAATAAAACCATGTAGTAAAATCCCTGGAATCCCCCAGTTGTAGTGTGTAGTAGTTCTATTAGTGAAAATAAAATTGTTGAAGAGTGACAACTTGTAAACCAAAAGTAGTTTATACATATTGTGAGTCGTATAACCATACTTGATATAACTAGAGACCTTTACAACATTCTTCAGGCGTTGAGTTAAATGACATTTGTCACCCCAGGCATGCTTGCCTAACTGTAGCTAGCAGTTCGGGTGTGGGATTGTCAGTCCCGAATAGATCTATTCACAAATCTCACGCTCTCCCTCCAGGAGACTCTGGTTATACTATGATAGGATTTAGCCCTGTACACCTAAGGGTACAATTTTGAAGTAGTGCCTCACAATATTGTACAATCTAGTTTACATGTAGTGTTGTAGCGTTATACCATAGAGAAATCTGTATGTATACCGTATGTAGTGACAATTATCCTTAAATAGTTATGAAATGCCATGTTCAATGTAATGATGTATACCATAAACTAAATCTGTCATAGTTTATATGTTTAGTAGTGAAAATCTCTATACTTGTTATGTTTCGAAAATCCCAAACTATACCTATTATAGTTTATGTGTATGGAGATGTATGAACTTGTATGAATTCCCAAACTATACCTATTATAGTTTGCATGTATAGCGTAATTGTGGTGAATATCGAATCCGGAAAACTATGCAATTTTGGTTATAAGTTGTAAAACGTCCCTTATGCTCAACATAGTACAAAAGGGTTAAAGTATGAAAAATTGCATGAGTTTTATACTTGTTAAAAGCTCTTTGCATTAGTTCACAAAAGCATTTATATTTGGCTTGTATTCCCCCTGAAAACGTTTTAAAAACCAGTAAAAGCGTGGGGGTATGAACTCACCTTGAGCGAGTGGTTTGTATGAAAGTTCGGTACGAGATGTTGAGTGTCAAGTGAAACCTCGAACTCAATTTGATCCTAATAACTTGTAAGGACACATATAGGAGTCAAATGAAGGTATTTCACTACTAGATATGATAGAGAACCACTCTAGAGACTTGGAACTACTTGCACTAAGTGTTAGAACCTTGTAGGATTGAGTGAGGGGATGAATGGGAGGAGCGGTGTGTTACCGATGGAATGGGGATGATCAAGTGGTGTTGAGGGATTAGGGGTGGTAACACGAAGGAAGAAATGGGTGTTGGTGACTAGGCTATTTTAGGGATGGTTTTTAAACTATAAGATATTACTATAAATTAGAAAAAAGAAAAACTAATATTAAAGATTAATGAAAAATCAAAGTAAGGATAATATGGTAACTTTAGATCAAACATAAAATAAGATGAACTACAAGGACCAATCATTCCAAAAAAATCCAAAAAAACCATGTGTGTAAAAAACATGAAAAGCGACTAAACTTGTAATTTAGATTTAGCTTTTTTTTATTGTGATTTAATGGTAACTTATAAACTAGTACTTTATAAGCTAGTTTTAAAAAAAAGTTATATTGATAAGTTAACTCTTAAGCTAAAAGCTCATTTTTTAATAGTACATCCAACACAATCTAATTCGTTAAGTACTATGTTGTAACGCCCCAAATTTCAACCTAATTTTTTCGATTAAAACTTTAAGTATTTATTTAATTCACAACTGCAAGATCTTAAAACATTTATCAGAGTATCATTAAAAGTTATCAAGTAGACAAGTCCCTCATTGATGCGATGCAATCGAACCATGCCCCTCCTTTAATATAAGAAAACCTGAAACATGTAAACCACAAATCGTAAGCACAAAGTGGAGTGAGTTCCCCAAAATACCACACACAACACAACACAAATAAACAACTATGGGTTATCAGCAACCTTGAGGACTATCAGCAGTCCCAGTGGGCTAACAGCACGCCCGGTGGGTTATCAACAGTCTCAGTCATATATAAACAGCATAACACAATAATAACAGCTAGACCCAGCTGGTCATCACAAATACAACTATTCTACCACACATGCTCATAAAAACATGTGAGAGTCACAAAGACAGCTAGCATCACACATACATAATTTAGTGAGTCGGCATTGGCACCTTCGACCCACGAGCACTGGGAGAAGACTCACTTGAATCGAAGAACCCTGAAACACTACGACACGATCCCTTTTCTGCACTGCTCGCACCTGCGAATCTACTAATACCAGAACCATATAAAATCTTAATTAATAACCCAAAACCCTCAAGTTTGAGCCAAGGTCAAAGTTGGTCAAAAAGTCAACGGTCAACGGAAGTCAAAGTCAATAGGTCAACTTCAGGCTGAGTACGTCCAACGTACTCAGCTCGTATGCATGGCGTACTCACCATCCAGAATCGAGACCCCATACGAGTACGCACAGCGTACTCGAAGGTACCCCCGACATACTCGGCCAAAAGGCACTTTCCATTAAGTGCTTAATCTCTTAAGTCATTTCATCCAACACTTAGATCTAGGCCCAGAACATCATTCTAAGTCATAAAGTTTCCACCTTTATGACTTTCCATGTCTAGAAAAGGTCCAAAAGCCAAAACCTTAACTTATTAATCCATTAAGACATCATGACACTTTCATGGAAGGTATAGAAAGATAAAGATCACATTTTTATGGATCCTAAAAGCTCAATAATGGATAAAGTTTCGAACTTTATCCATTAGAATGATCCAAACCACCAAGATCTAGCCTTTAAGCATCAAAGGGACCAAAAGTGCATATTTTTCAACGTAATCCATTAAGTCCAAGTCTCCCACCTTCAGATCTGAATCATAATGATGTTTAGATGGATAAAGTTTCCAACTTTATCCATAATAAGGTCACAAACTTTCAAGATCTAGACTTTATGCACTAAAATGACCAAAAGCTCATAACATCTAAAACTAGCTAGATCTAACAAATGCATCATCAATATTCAAACTTTATACCTCTAGAAGATAGATCAAGGTGAAAAAAGTCCATATCTATAAGCTCCAATGCAACCAACACTTCTACAAGAAGTTCCTTCTTCT